GTCCTGTGGGATGTCGAAGGATTAGAAACTTTCTCTGGTCAGTTCGGTGCGATTTGATGAGGTGTGGAGCGGTGCGATGCAGTGCCGTGGTTCGGTTCGTCGATGGAAAACCGTTTAGAATTTATCGCGACATCGAAACGTCCAGAAGAGTTGATTAAACGACTAGAACAGCATGGTCAGGCGTATTAAAAAGGATAACGTCGAGACTGGCGCGGCGAAGAAATCAGGGCAGAGAAACTTCTCTGTAGATTAATAAGAAAATAGAAAGACGGAGGGAACGGCAGCCTCGCTGTAGAAATATACCGCGCGTTAGAAGAAAATTCAGGGGGCAACGAGGTGGCGAGGTGGTAGCGAAAGATGGCCCAACACGATTCGCTCGAGCTAACCCTCGTCTTATCCCCGAAGACGAGGGTAAGCGCGTAAGAAAAGTCCGAACGACGCGACGCCCTGGAAAAGAGAGTTGCAACGGGGATGCATCCGGGCCGAGCACTAGCTATTTACTGCTCGTCAGCCGGCGTGTCTTTAACACCGAGCTCTGGAAATTGAGATTAAACCGCGCACTCCTACGCGCAAATACTTGGCTCAGAACCGGCCTGGCCCTCCCCGACTACGCCACGCCACGCCACGCCACGCCGAGCCACGCCAAGCCATGCCAACGGGTGCTTCTTGTTAATCTCAGCCGGTGTCGAATGCCGGAGAATTCGGGCCTTTCGACTCGACCGCGAAACTACGGATTTTCCCTCGCGGTTTTCCTCAAACGAACATACCTCGAGCCGACCACCGTTGCCTTTCGTTTCATTCGCGAAACAATCAAATTTAACTTCATTTCATTCAGGAAATTCTACGTCTCGCGTCGTCAACTTATTCGAATTTTATACCGTTTCCGCTGCACTATTCTTTTACCGACATTTTTTCACATTTTTCAAACTCACTTTCCCCGTTTAACCTGCTTACTTTATAGCTGTTCATTCTTCTTCCGGTTATAGAATTTTCAGCCTGGACAAAACCTACGAAATTACCGTAACAGTTTTCGCGATTCGGGGAACAATTACATTTCGGACGTTTCGACGAGAATTTACTCGCTGATATACGACCATACGTGAAATCCCAAATAAAAACCGAACAGTACCGCGGACCCGCGAAATCTGTTTCCAAACAAAGGGAACCGTATCAGTGATCACCATTTTTCTTTTGTTTTCCCAATCCCCCCCCGTTAACGCAGCAGTAACACGACCTTCCATTCGACGATCGCAAAAAGATTATGTATAGTGACCGTTGCTATTTATTCGTTGTGGAATTTATCGGTTCCCATGATTATTTTCATCAAAAGTGCAATACCTCGCGATAGTGATAGAAATTTGATTTTTCTCTTATCCATTATTGGAATATAAGTAAGTACGTCTATAAACTTGTTAACATTATTTTCGAATATTCCGCAATTGCGTTCCGTTCCGTTCCACGTATTTGGAATATTCGTGAAAATCGTGGCAACGCGGGTCGATGGGGTAAATAAAAGACATTAGCCGGTTATCGAGCCAGCAGGTGGATCGCGCGGCGGTTAACGAGAGCCGAGCGTACGGGGAATCGCGAGATATTCTTTAACGCGGAGCAAACGCGGGAACGACTCGAGGAAAGTAGGAAAAGCGCGGATCAGGATGAAAATTGCGAGGAAAAGCAAAAGGTACGCGTCTCGAAGCAAACAGCCGACATAGAGCAAGTAATTCGGTCTGTAGGAGGTTGTGAAGATTCGTTGCTTCTTGACGGAGCTCGACCGACGAAAAGCAAACGAACGATCGCTCGATTTTCTTTTGTTTCGACATTTCTAGTCGATTTTTAAAAAATTTCCTTTATTTTTCTCTTTTAAATTGCAAAATAAACATAGAAGACAGCATACAATATAGCAGTTGATATAGTCATCGGACAGGGGATGAAATACCCTTTAAAATGAGAGGTCGTACGAGTCGATAGCTTAATTAGTTCCGGAGATATAGCGATTTTAGTTTCAAGTCGATGCGCTGGCCAGATGCGGAAGCGCGGGATCAATGAACTCTCGCGCGCGCGCGCGCATCAAAAGTAAACAGTGCGTAGTAAATTCTTGGAAATACTACGCCCGAGAAACTAGGTCACGTCAGTCACGTTCGTGGGGTAGGTCAGCACGATGCACGTGCGACAAAGAGGTCCGACGCTCAAGACGAAGACAGAGATAGTCCAATTAAAAAAAATTACCTTTTATATAACTTACGATATCTCGAAAACGGAAAGTCCGATCGTCAAAAACGAAAAGCCATTTTAAAGGGGAGGCTTTGCCGCTTCTAACAATACCTTAATAATTAATAAAACGCTAATAGTTTCGGAACTGCACGCGTCCAAACTTTTAGTATTTTTAATACGCGTGAATAGGCTATTGTACACGCGACGAACAGTAAGGGAGTCGGATTAAAAAAAAGTTATAATTATATTATAAATTATATAACCGTCTAGTTTGTAAATTTTTCGTCGTTTGTGACTGTATCAATCGACATGGGAGAAGAACCGTTGCTTTACTTTTTCTTATTCCTCGTTCGTCTACATCGAGTCCCAAAGCTTCTTCTGCTACTCTTTCCTCCCGGCGCCCCTTTCCCTTTGCCAGGTTTACCGGGGCATCGTCCAACAAATTTCGATTCACCTCACGCTCGGGGTCTTCAATTACGTTTCGTTAGAGGGTTAGGATTGCTCGTGGAAAAAGCCGCAATTTGTCGACTAATTAATCGACTAACAGCTCGCGGGAGGGTAACGGGTAACGGGTAACGGGAAAGGGGTAACGGGGAACACCTCGCGCTTAGGATTCCGAGGGTTGGTTTGTCGCAAAGATGCGAGGTTCGCGTTTCGCGTTACCGAATTCCCTTGCACGAGCCACAGAAGATCTGTACCTCGTACGCACCCTAAAAGGGCTTCCCCACCGGCAGGTGGCTACGCCTGGTTTCCACTACCCCGTCGGATAATACTCGAGAGGCGTGTAGTTAATATTAACGGCGCGCTATAGAGGCAGCGCGTGTTGTTCCTACGTAATTTCCTACTAAACGTACCCAGGGATGTCCATGCATATTTCAAAGCACCGGCTACGACGCCCGTGGGTTTCTATCTGTCTGTGCGTCTCTTCGACACTGTTCCAATTTACAGAGGCTGTTTCTTACGCGCGTCCGGATTTCTATCGCGAACCAACCACACGAATATTTCAATTTCTACGTACACTAACGGGATTAGCAACACACGCCTAATCGAAACCACCTTTTGCACATTTTCTGCCTTTCTAGAAATTTGTCCCGCAATTTACTACATAGATAATAAGCCCGGTGACCCTCGGCCGAGTTTTCACGCGTACGAGGAATTTTTCGCGCAGCAATATCGCGAACATCGCCGTCAGTTTTTCGTTGCTTTTCCCCAAGGGAAACGTAGTCTAAACGACGGACAATCGGTCAGGTTCGATCGTGTACTGGAAACCGGACAATGAAATAAGACCAGCAGACCACACGAGTTACGTGCACTTTCTATAACGATAGATGGACTCGACGTATGTATACTCGTTCGCCTCTTCCAACGATTTTTAACTTTAAGTAATCAACGCGTATGGTTATGCTTATGAAATTTTACCGAAATAATATCCACTTGCAACCGTAAGCCGGAATTAATTAGTTACAGGAAGACCGAAACCGTCGTATTTAGAAAAATATTGCAAATCCAATGCAACCATGTTTCGATCAACTAATAATTCTCTGATCGGGAATTGGATCGTTTTGCATTGCATTTCGTAGAAGGGACGTCGGACAACGAACCCCGAGGATGGTAATCCACGAGAACTTGGCTGCTAATCGAGAGATTTCTGGGTGGTTCGTTGATTTTTCTCCGAGCCGGGTGAAATATCACGCCGCTAACGGCCGTTAATGAATGAAAATGAATGGGAAATGGTAGAAACGATGGTTCACCGGTGACACGGATCGCCACGTGATAACACCCTCGAGAATACTTTATGGCCCGTGCGCGCGGGACCATTTGTATCGCGACAACGAAACGGTAAATGCTTCAACGAGCCACGCCGTTTACTCTTTTCCAATATTCTCTTCATTCCCCTCCCTCTCTAGAGTATGTACGCGTGTATACGAACCGAAAACTGGAATTTTGGTCTGGGTTAGAAAAAAAGGACGCCAGCCATATGCGATATTACTATAGGGTGACTACAAGAAACGGAGATGGAAATACGAAACAGCTTGGCCAGGGAAAGAAAAGGGATCGAGCATCGACGACGGGACCTAAATTCTCACTCCAGGCAAACGTATCGCTTTGTTCATTGGCTATTAAGATAAATACTCTGCCTTACATTGCTCATTAAGAACTAAATTAAGTCTTATTAAGGGCTTCGTTCGGTCGGGGCCACGGTTCCTGTTTGAATTTAATGGCGCAACTACGGAATGGCTTCCCGGGCCATTTCAGTAAAGCTCGTTATCTCGTTAACGATCCATTCATCTATTCTGTGCTTCGTCAAAACGGCGGCCGATCGTGTACTACCGGTTGCCGTAAAGTAGTCGAGTGCATTATAGAACGTCTTCTATCCTTTCAAAGGGTGAAATGATCGAAGGGATTGTTTAAAACGGGACCAACCGATCGCGCAAAGAACGTTATTTTCATTCAAAGTATGTGACCGCGGATAACACCTTCCATGTTAAAATCAAATACTCGTCCCTCGATTTCGGTTACGTGTCCGAGGATCAGGGTCTCCTTGGAAATGGTTTAAACGGTGGTTTAGCGGCGTCTAGTCGAAAACAAGGCGTATAAGAATGGGAGAATGGGACGATCGCGTTCGAGAAGGTTGGTTTTTGCTCGCGAGATCGTGTATAGCAGCAGCAGCAGCAGGCAGCACGGTAGCGAACGAAATCGGAGAGAATCGGAGAAAAATACAGAGACACGAGAGAAACGAAAGAAAGAGCCGGGAGAGGGAGGGCCAGATGAGAGAATGCAAGCCTCACCTGTGCTCTGGGCATCGCGTAGCTTCTGCTCTGGCCTCTCGACCCTCTCCTCGCTCGGGGGAGGTGGCCTCTCTGTCCTTTTCGTATAGTAGGGGTTGTACGAGGAAGGCCAGACGGTGGTCGGCCTTTTTGCTGGTGACGGCGTGCTCGGTCGTCCTGAAAATAGATTAGGACCTTTCTCATCCAACCCAGCCATTCTCTCCGTTCCTTCCGCCGTTCCCCTCTCCTTCTCCCTCATTTCCCGGTCTTTTCGTTTTAAACGTGTTTCTTTTCCGTCCGTCGTTTTATTTACTTTTTAATCCTCCTCGATGCCCGTCTCTCTCCGTTCTAGTGTGTCGTTTCACACCACGAGAGGGCACCGTTTCCGCTCCAGTTACCACGTGTATCGAGTACATTTCGCGATCCTGCCATCCTCCTAACACCATTGTTTCTTTAATCTTTTTCCGACCTGAAGATCTAACAAACGCCGGACCGATCGAAATGATGTTTCCGATCGTTAATCCGATATCGCGACATCGACATCGACATCGACATCGACATCGACATCGACATCGACATCGACATCGATATCGATATCGAGTTTCTTCAATTCGAGTAAGGAGAATTTCGTCGAGTTTCCGGATGCTAGGACTTTGAGGGTCGTTGGTAAAACAACTTTATAAAAACGTGTTAAGAGAGCTATCGTCGGGGGTAGCTGTCGGAGAGCGCTCGAGAGAGGGACTTGAAGTTTGAAAACTGCGAAACTGCCGAGCGAGTTTTATTCTCTGGCACCTGGCGATCGTGGCGCGGCACGGTGCGCCACGGGCCGTTCACCTCTAACTTTCTAATTTTTATTTTCAGCTTACTCAAAGTCGTAAAAAGGTTCTGTATCCGTGTGTTCGGAATCGTAGAGCGAACGAATCGACAAAAAGACGTCGCGTTGGAATTACATATTCGAAAAGCGACGGGACGACCAAGAGTTACGGTCTTGGATCCCCTTTTGTCGCGCCGCGTCTCGTTTCGAGAGGAGACACGTTTAAAATAGCTACACGCCGTTTGATGAATTCCGACAGCTTCTTTGAAAACGAGCCAAGTTCAACTTGTTGCGTTCGATACCAACCACCAACTGGTCTCTCACCGCGCCGCGCCGCGCCGCGCCGCGCCACGCCGCACCACGCCACGCCGCACCGGCCGCCGAGCAAGAAAGAGGATCTAGATGCTTCGATAGGGGAAAAAAGCTGCCCACGAAGAACCGATTCGATCGTTTCGAATCCCACCATTGTAACCGTTTCACGCTACACGGGACACGTTTCTTCCTTTGTCTCTTTACCATTTTAATCGTTTTTCTACGACCGTATCGTACAATGAATTTCGATCGCTTTTCGGAACGTTCCTCATTTAAACGGAGTAGAAGAAGCGTTTTAAACGAGCCGCGCATCAATCCAGTACCTGATCAAAAAAGTATTATTACGTAGAGATTCGGACAGGAGCGAATTTGAAACTTTTTTCGGTCTCTCGTAACTCTCGTCGCAACAACCTCTGTCGGCCATTATTATGAAAAGCCAGCTCGAAACTGTACAATCTTTGCACAGAGTAAATCGAAACTTTACTTAGACGGTAATTCTGTATACCGCGCATCAACCGAGGGTGCAATTCGAATTCATGCTCGACGCGGGACCCGTATACCATTATATAACATCGTTACCCTTTATAGAGAGTCGCGACCCGGTAAGATGGCTCGCCACTTATTTCCGACGCCCATAATCGAGCGGAATATTCAAACCGGTCCCGTGTGTGCTGTACGATTGTATAACGTGGAAAGTTTGCCACGCGAGGTAACCAACCCCGTTGGACATTTTTTCAAACGGTGTACACCGTTCGTACAAACGGACCAGCTACGTATTTCTTTGTTGGAAGGTCTCTAGGAAATCTCCCTATCAACAAAAATGAATTCCTATTTGGTTAAACGAGTACGAACACGAATAAAACACATTAAAACGTAAACGAAAAGAGTTGTGTAACCGTTTGCATCGGGCGGCAGGCGCGATAGTTGCAATTTTCAACTAGTACTGTCGGTTGTTTGCGTTTCCTCGAAAATAGCAAGACGTTCGATGCACCGATTACACGGGTGGGTGGGGGGGAGGTCGAGAATTTCGCGAAATTTTCGCCGGCTCGTTAAGAATTTCTCAAAAGCATCCCGGATTGGACTCCCCGCCAAGAGTCGAGACAAGAAATAATTAATTCTCGGTGCAAGAGGAAACTTTGGCTGCGAATAACAAGTCCCTCTGCCGTCGTAAGGAACGTTTAAAAATAAACAGAGGCGAGCGTCTTTAAGCACCATCCACTCGATTAATTCTCTTCCGAGATCTCCGATATCCTCCTAGTCTCGCTTTCCTCCCACGGACGTTGCCTGTTTCTGCACGGTGAAGGTGGTGGGCTTTTCGGTGTACGGAAATCTAAGCCCGGTCTCGCAAACAACCGCGATCCACGAGAACGGGACGATGACGGTAGAGAAGGTGCTAAAAAGTTTTCGAATAAAAGTTTAAATACAGCTGGAAAAGTTTATTTCGTAGCCATCTTTCGTTTCCATCCCTCCATCATCCTGTTTCAATATACCTGGCCTCGAGCTACCATATTCTAGCTAGCATATTCTCGCGCGCCTACTCGCGGGGATAGTTTTCCTTTGAATCGCGACCAAACAACCTTCTGTCGTATTTCATCCGGTTTCGTCGGCCGGACCGGACCGGACCGGACCGGCATCTTTTGTACGCGTGCACCACTTGTATTACCTTTATCCAACACCGTCGCTCCTTATACGCGTGAAATTTTAATTCGGCAATTCATTTAGAGTTGCGCTTAGGCAAAGTTTACGTATCGACAGATTCGATAAACGATCTTTCCAGCCTCTTGGTTGGTCGACGATGCTCGAACAGAAGGAGGATGCATCGCCGTAGCCCAGAGGCTAATGCCAGAAATAATTCCAGCCTCCTTGCTCGGCGATAATTAATTACGGCTGCTAGGATCGATGGGTGTCCCGAGAGGCAACTAGTGTGTCGAGGCATTATTAAATATCGTATATTCTCAGGGGGCTAATCCCAACCCTTCGGCGAGAACGAGCTCCAGTCTACGTGGAGGGAGAACGATGGTGAACGAGAGCAAGAGAGAGAGAGGGAATTTCAGGCGATCGTAAAGTTCGCTTTTTGAAAGGAAGATTTAGGGACGCGTTCAACGAGTTATAAGCTCGTATAAATAATGGGGGCCAGCACCGCACCGCACCGCACCGCACCGCACCGCACCGCACCGCACCGCACCGCACCGCACCGCACCGCACCGCACCGCACCGCACCGCACCGCACCGCACCGCACCGCACCGCACCGCACCGCACCGCACCGCACCGCACCACACCGCATCGCACCGCACCGCGGAGCGGAGATTTTCCTGCTAGTTCCGCTTTATAGAACAAAATTTGCAATAAGAATTTATCGGTACGTGGACCGATATACATTTACGTTGCATATACATATTATGCGTTTATCGATAAATGTAAATACGTGTAGAACGTAGGTAAGCGTTAATTTTAGCTAGATGCTGGTGCGGACCGAATGCTCGGAATAATACGCGAGTCGAAATTCCGCTCGGGAGCTGCGTTTAAATTTTCTTCGACTTGGTTTTCCGGATGATATCGCGATTGTCTTGCGAGCGAATGCGAGCTGGTGAGAAATTTGTCGAGGACGATGCAATTCGGGCTCGCGTATTCACGTTCCTCTTCACAGGACAGCAGTAATTGAATTTTAAATGCGCTTAATTGGGTCACCGGTTAAGCCGGCGATGTAATACCGCGATATAAAATTAAAATATTCGACGGGATTCGCGGAGGGTCACTGCGCCGAAATAACCGAGAGATCGATTCCAAAGAGCCTGGTGAATTATCGAAAGAGCGTCCAACTGTCGCGTCGCGTCGCGTCGCGTCGACAAAATATTCCTGTGCAGAGATCGAGGCGGCAAAATCATGTTACCTATCCATTTACTATTGTAAGAGTTATGGCTGTTTGAAAATTGGACCATTTTTATGGGGTTTTTCTCAGTTTACGGGGTCAAGGAACAACTTTTTCAATATTTTTATAATTTCTACATATTCTCCATTAAAATACGCGTTATTTGCTTTTTTAAACTTTAAAATCCTTCGATCCGTTCAGAAGTTATGACGTTTTAAAGATCCGTACGAAATTTCAGTAGAACGTCTAAACGAATGGTCAGACATTAGATTTTCGGTAATGAATTTTTTTCTCGAAACAGAGTAGGATTTCGGGGGTATGTCTGATAACCAAAAATGATTGTAATTGACCGCTGCAATTGAAAATAATTTTTTTAGAACGATTTGAAATTTTTTAATTTAATTTTATTAATAACTTTTTAACGAAGCCTCGATCAACAAAATAGCATCCTTGACTTTCGTCTGATTTTGTCCTCTAGAATCTCCCATTAAAATTGTTTCCCAGGGGTGGCCGAACACCCTGTATATCAGATTCGATTTAGCTGGTTCCGCTTGGAATGTTATCTGGCCAGATAAGGTGGAAAGGGACTCGGTGGTCCCGTTGGAAACTGCTTGGTGGCTCTTAACGTCCCGTTGGTGAGTTATCGCGCATCCTGGTCGGATCATTAATAATTCGCTAATATTAAGATTGATTTCGAGCCACGAAGGCGAGGAACTTTGGAAAAGTTTCCCGTAGCTGCGCCGCAGTCGATCATCTAGCAGGCATTATGATAAAACCGTGCAGCAGTTGCATAAAGATTTCCACGAAACAGAGGACGGAACGTGTCAAGCGTCGTTATACGCGTTTTCGAGTAGATAATTTATCGAACGGTATGGATGGTAATCATCGGGCGTTTGAAAAAGTCCGTGTCCCGTTAAAACCGATAGGTAGACGAGACAATTGCTTCGATAGGAGCATCCCGCCAAGGGAAACGGTTTAAAATTACATTTCGAAGCGAACGCGATCGAACCTGTTCGGTGGTCTGGCAAGTCGAAATACAACGATCGTGTCCCAAGTGAAAATCCACGGCACGCAATTACCCGATGAAAGGTAACGGCGAAACCGGCAAGGTATAACAATAATCCAGGTTACCGGGCAGGTAGGGCTGCGAGGTAAAATTGCGAAGCTTAATGGCGGTAATACCGTCGTGGCCGAGCCTTGTATGGCGTTAATAATGCAGCATATTGAGATTGGTTTCGCTGCGAGAACACCGGGGCCAGAGCCACAGGGACCTGACCTAGGCATCCGCCCAAGTTATTCGCGCCGCTTTAATAATACACTCGCCAATGTGCACACACCACATCACACCACACCACACCAGCAGCCCAGCTGACGTAAAGATTACGTTCGAGAGATACGCTTAAACGCCATTCCTTTCTCAGACTCGTAGCCGGTATTTCGATCGAGCGTAAAAAGAGACGCTAAAAAAGAGTTGTTTCGAACTAGTCTCGATCTCTCGCTAAATTATTCTCATCGGCTCGATGTCGCTTAATGATCGTTCGAATGGCCATTCAAGCCACCGGGCGTAATTCACGGCCTTTCCCCAACTTTTCCACTTGCTTTCCCCTCGAATAACATGCGGGTCCCGAGGAATACAATTTTACCGTTTGTTTTTAGTCGCCTGCGAGCGAGCCCCCTGTTTTCTTCTCCTTCCTCTCGTTCTCGTAAACGCGAGGAGAGCCAACTTGACCAGTCCGCGATTTCACGATAAAATACGGATAATGAGTTCGCCGAAGAGGGAAGCGTGGTCGGAGAGGACCTACGTGGTATCGATTTCGGCCCTCGAACCTTTCGCAATCTATCTATTCGATCTGGATCTCACCTTCTTTGTTGGCGCTGCTCTTGATCTCCGTAGCCTTTGGCGCCGCGGATGGCTTCGGAATTTCTGAAATAAAAAAGTTGGTCGCCTTTAGAACTCGACACCCTTTTCACCGTTTCTCGATTGCGTCACTCCTGATTCGTCTCAGGCATGAATGATGTATATGTATGTGTATATCGTCGACGCGACCCAAGTAAAATTTACTTTCTAAAATTCTATTATCAGCTACTCGAACGTTACGTTACGAAGCTCGTACAATCTGATTTTTCTATTCGTCTTAAAAAAAGTCTCGAGCGTGTACAAACTGTTGTGAATAAAATCGAATCGCAATTGTTTATCGTCTTACCGTACAACCTGATAGAGCCCTCGGTCTCGCCCAACGAGTTCTTACTGATGCAACGATAGTTTCCAAAATCGCTGGTCTGCAGGTTTCTGATGGTGAGGTTCATGTGCGCCCTATAACTGTTCTCCATGATGATGGTCGTGTATTTCTCGTTCGAGAGTATCATCTCGTCACCGAGGAACCAGTAGCTCATCGCGCGTGGATATGCCTCCGTGTGGCATTCGATCGTTACGTCGGTGCCAGCTGGTGCACCAACCAGTTGACTTGGCACGAAGATCATCGGCGAAACTTTAACGTTAATGGAGGTTGGTTATGGCCGACGACAGCCCGGTCATCAGGCTCGTCGACGAACGAACGATCAACACCGTTCGGAACAAGGATTAAATTTCTAGCCACGTTCGCTAAACAGGCTACTAGCTATCTACACTCCATATGTATATCTCTGTTGTCGCGTATTTATATTTATTTAAATCGTTTGATCAAACTAGCAACACCGCGATCGCAGAGTCTCGTATATCTTGGTTGGCAAGAAGAAACAAAGTTACGAACGAAACGAAGCAATATTAGATGGTCGTTACGTTTCTGGCGCCGTTTAACGTAATCGTACTCGTAAGCCTCGAGACGACGATTGCCCGCCAGGTAAAGGTTTCCCTTTCCCTCTCCCTCTCCCTCTCCCTCTCTCTCCCCGTGTACCCTCTTACCAAGTTTCTTTGTAACGAGAAACGACGACGGCTAGGGCCGATGAAACCGACTGTTTGTCCTCGAAATGTGAATATTGTACCAAATACCTGGCATCGTGTAAAATAACCTGAACGATGTCTTCTGTAGTTTCATTCCACCGAAACGAAGAAAACTTGACAGGGAAAGTTTCTTCCTTGATTAAAAAACACATCGTTTCTGCAGATTTACACGAGGCGGGAACAAAACTACCGACAAACGAACGAGGTTAACCGTAGACGAATAACGCACAGTACACGGTATCTCTCGAGAGCAGCCATCGGTGGTATGCATCAGGCTTCCCACAAATCCACAAATTGCCGGCGCTGACCCTAATTAACGCATACTTGTCTCGATTTACCACCATCGACTCTATCTACGTCCCACGTCCATCGGGTCTCTCCTTTATCTTGCGCCGTCGACAGTTTTTCTTCCGCTTGATATTTCAAACTAACCAAACGATCGCACGTTTGTGTGCGATTTGAAGATAAGGTTTTAAAAAAGCAGCCATTTCGTCCTGCAAGTTTACGCAACGGAGCTCTCTCGTATTCAATCTATTCGGTATACTAGGGATTAAGGAGCAAAGAGAATATTCTTTTCAATGTTTTCCAACGGACAGCCGACGACTCGACTGTCCTCCTTCGAACGATTGTTTGCCTGAAAATGAAATCACGTTTCCCGCACAGCAATCGAATAACCATGGACATTGCCACCCGCGAACCGGTAAAATGATATTTAATCTTGGAGAAACGGTCGAGTTTTCGGAACGCTTCCGTTTCGTTGTTTGTAATCGGGACGTTGATGTTTACTACTTGCGTCGTTAACCAGTGGAACCACACATTTCCCGGGCATAGGATTTCGATCGATACGAGAAACGACGCCGCGTCGTGCCTCGCCGCGCCTCGCCGCGCCGCCCGTAGAAGACAAACATAAATGAAAACAGTGCAAAGACTTTTAGAGGATACGGAATTTCTGCCGATCCGTTACGAACGGAAACTGTACCGTGTGTATTGGCCAAAGTAAGCCCGATACGGAACGATAAAACAATTTTCTTGCCTCGTATCTTTCGCTACGTAAGCATCGTTTTCGAAAGCAACTATTTGGAAAAGTGAATCTTGTTCGTTTTAGTTCCGGAGATATTAGCCTGTTGGCTGCATGTTACGCCGCGTTGCATGCAACGAATATTCAACGATCAAGAAGCTCGCGAGTCGAGATATCTGGAAACGGATGAAAATTATTCATACGCGTCGCGACGGTACGCGACGCGACGCGACGCGACGCGACGCGATGGTACCGGTGGAAGGGAAAGAAAAGTGCTCGAGCGAGTATTTCGAGAGCGGGACGGAAGGCAGTGTTTTCTCGCTACTCTAAATAAAATATGTCCGCGCCCTTCTAAATATTCAAAGGACAGTAGCAGCGTCGAGCTGTTCCTCCGTACGCACACGGCCACGCCAAGCGACACGAACGAATGGAACGCATAAAAGGGAAAAATGACCAGGAGCGTCGGGACGCTCGCGCTAGCTCCCGGTATTTCCCTCGGGTTTTTCTAACGGCGCATCTGCCCGACGACCCTTCCCTTCCCTTCCCTTCCCTTCCCTTCCCTTCCCATCATTCCCCCTTCCTTCCTTCCTTCCTTCCTTCCTTCCTTCCTTCTTTGCCCTCGGATCGTACACACCGGGCCCGACCGCCTGCGATTCGTACAATGAAATTTAAACAACACAGTCGACTCTCGATAATCCGTGTTTTGGTTGACGGTACATAACATTCTGCCTCGTCGACGACGTCACGCTACGAGCGTGAATTACTTTATACATGTATGTACAGTAGAAGGTGGTTCGTTGTCCCAACTAATAGAAGCTTACAATTATTTAATAGAAAGTTAATCGTTCGTACTCGAGATATCCGTCCGTTTAATGTTTTCAACAAATATCGCAAAGTTTATCGATAAAACGATACTCGATACGACTTTAGTATACATATATATGTATGTATGTAGAAAAGTAAAAAGAATCGTAAACGAAAAATGCGATGCGTATCGAGTACGCTGATAGGATGTACGAGGCTCTGTGCTCGATAATACCGTGTATCTTAACATTTACTCACATTCGACGTCCACGGTGATTCGTTTGCTGACTGTTGGTGGCACACCGTTGGTCGCGATACAGAGATACGCGCCCATTTCATTGCGCGTGATCCTCGTCAAGTTTAATTGCTCGCCATCGTACAAATTCACTGAAACCAAAAGCAGAAATTGATTCGGACCGGTCGAGCGTGCAAATATAGTACCGCCGAAACAAATAAACAGAGTCGGATTCGACGTCAACGTACATAGAAACAGAATCCTCGAAAAAGTAACTTGGCATTCGTTTTAGCGGCAAAAGTTTCTCGGTTTAAACGAAACGTTGCTTTTTCGTTTCGGTTTACTATGTACCTACTACATATTACTTTCTACTGGAATCAATTTATCCGAGTATACTGCGTAAGAAAAGAGCGATTGTACGCGTCCCGGGAAGAGAAAAAGGGCCGTAATCGTGGGTTAGAGTGGTCCAACGACCATTTTTCTATTTACAAGGAAAAAACCAAACGTAACTCGTCCAAAAAAAGAATCTTCCGAATATTAACGGCTGATTCATACGCGAAGCAAACTTGTCAACAATTCCCCATGGTTCTTGGAAATAGTTTTAACGTGGCAACGTGTCGCGCGAATAATTTTTAAGCAACGTTCGCGCAACTCTGCGTTAAGCAAAGTTACCGCAACGATAAAAGTTCCCGGTGAAATTGCAGCTGTAAACGGGCTGCTAAAGGAAAGAATAAGGCGCGGCGGGTGCCGGTGGCGGTGCCGGTGCCGCGTATCGGGACGAATATCAAAAACTCGTCGTTCCCGTTTCGTGTCGTTAAGTCGTCTTGCAGTTTCGAAATCGTTACGAAACCTTGACGCGTTGCGAGCCTTTGTATCTCTCGTCGATCAAATCCGCCGACGTAGACGCGTGATTTCGATTCCGATGAAATTAACGAATCCGTAAAACTAGGTTCGTGGCAGCGATTCACCTTACGATCCAAGGGACCGAGAGTACTCGTTACGCATAAAGAATAAAAAAAAAATAAAGGCTGATGGTCGATCGCGAGAGTCTCGCAATTATTATTATTATTATTATCATCAGCGTGGTCGTTGTCGTGATCGTTGGAGCCGCGAGGAAATGAAATCTTCTTTTTGGCAGGCAGCTCGCCAAGGACATAAAGAAAGCTCGTTTTTGTTCTTTCGAGCCGTTCATTAACTCGAATACCAACGCATTCGTTGCCCGTACAAAGCTAACGGTGATATCGTTTGCCCTCGCAGACGTCGTTTTACCCGAGTACGCGATATTGATAATAAGTTTAATTGCATTCGAGGACGGAAATTAGCTTCGTTTCATAAATATGTATCTGGTGGGAGGAGCGTTCTAATTAATGAGTTCTTTGTTCGGAAGAAGCCGCGTTCGTTCATTAAGAGAAGAAAAATGATGTGATGCCGTAGAAAGGAAGAAATAGAGTGGGTTGCATTTTTACAAAGGGAATTCTCGGATCACGGTAGGTCGTTGTTCGGAACCGATAGATTGTTTGGTATAATATTATCAAAAAACTAAAACATAATCTAGCAAACATAGTTTAACAGTTGTAATTATAGCATAGCTACTATTCGATAAAAGGTGATGTAATGTTTCTTTAAAATATTACTGGAAAAAAGTGTAGATATCATGGTCGGTATAAAAGCGAACGAGCTTCATTTTTCGGAAATGATTCGTACTCGGTCGTCGCAAAATAATCGTAGAGCTTCTTTTTCCATGAATTTTCGAACCATCCCCGTGGTCAGAGGTCCTCGTTGGTCTCTCTTTTGAAAACAATCACGAGCCAGACGAATCCCGAGCGGACAGATGAAATCGCGCGACCGAACCGGCAATCTCCTCTTTTCACGGCACGTTCATAAATCTTTACGCGGGTTTATTCCGGCTTTACTCGCCTCCTAGTCGCGATTAACCCCTGTCGCCATTAGAGCGGGGCCAGGTGTCGGGGAAAGAGAAACGGGGATGGGTGTGGGTGTGGGTGTGGGTGTGGGTGTGGGTGGCGGTGGCAGCGGCACGGGAGGAACGGACGGACGATGTTTCTTTCACGAGACACATGCCCTGGCTGCCAAACTGCCTTTCCACGTGTACGACACGACGACACTCGGTGGAACGTCAGCCTCCGCCAAGGCAGCCGATCGATGCGCACGAATTATTGAGAGACTGGCTGAATTTCGTGGCTTCCGACTACCAACTGCCGCGATAACGTTCGAACCGTCGCGTCGCCTCGCGTCGCGACGCGTTCCTCTCTGCATTCCGTAACGCTCGTCCACGAGTTTCCGTTTAAAAAACAAGAATCGCCATGGTAGGAACAACTTTTCTTGCGACACAGCCTGACCTTTTTAATGGGTCGATTAGACGAAACGTTAATCAACAGCCATCGATAAAAGAACCGAGAGACCGAACAACGGAACCGTGTAATTACGTATCTACTGTAAATAAAACGTAACGATATTAAGCGTACTCATAGGTTTGGGTAAGTCAGTGGAGAAGCAGTCGTTCGCAAGCATTTTGCTTCTTACGACGATTTCATCGGCCGTATCCAACGTAATACGCGAGTGGAATCTATTTTTTTCAAACAGTATGATATCGACTCGCAATGTATGTATGTATGTATGTTCGTTTTAGTAACGATTCCTCTCGTATTAATGTATTCGTCGATTGGCAGCGAAAACGTTTAGAAAGCAACTCGTTGAAAGCTGGGATGCGGATCGATGCATCAAGCTCGTCGCTGCTAATAGCCATTCCGAAAGTAGAATTTCAATAAAATTTTTATGATGCGTAACGATCGGCGACAGGAAAAAACTTCATTATCGTGGTACCGAGTGTGTTGCGCGAAAGAATACCAATAGAACTTGCCTCGCGTTCGTTTCACCATTCTTTTTTTGCAAGCTGATGCAATTTCCTGTGTATATGTAGATTGTAATATCGTAGACGATAGACCGTGGCTGGCTCGCAACTACAACTTGTCAATTTTATTCAACTATTAATTGTTGGATTAGAAAATTTCATCAAACATCCGTAATAGCAATAATCAGAATACCATCTTATAAATTTGTTGGAAACGTTAAAGAATTTCTGGGATCCTGCGGCAGCAAAGGGGTATCCACGGGACGAGGAAGAGGAAGAAGCAATCGAGAGTCGTTGGGCAATGCCTGGCTGTAAAAGGCGACGCGCTGACGATGCCGATAAATCTGTCCGTGATGAAATAGATGGGAAAATTGTATGGCCCGTTGGCAGGCGCGCCAACGGATCGGATTTAATGGCTATTTGCGCCCGAGTGGAAGAAACGTAAGCTTCGACGCACTCGTAGCCAGTTAGCCGTGCGCGAAGTAGATTCGTTACGAAATAGGCTGATAGGATAAAAATAAATATTGGTCTCGACGCTTTTTTTTTCTCTAATTCTTTATCGTTGCATCCTCGATCGATGTTTATGATTCTAGAGGCAAAAATAAGACGAACATCAAGAATAGTAATTCCTTGATCGAGGTTTCGTGAAAAAGTTATTAACGTTTAAAGTACCAAAAATTATTGTACGTGACACCCGCAATTGAAAATAATTTTTTGCAGAATTACTTGAAATTGTTTAATTTAATTTTCTTAATAAATTTTTAACCAAGCCTCGATCAACAAATTGATATTCTTGATTTTCGTCTTATTTTTACCCCTAGAATCGGCTATTAAAATTGTTTCCCAGGGGTGGCCGAACACCCTGTGCATATACATATTATGATAAATATTTCACTGCGCTCTACTCTTAAATTAAAAATTTACCACGCAATCAGATTTCCTTCGAACCACAACCGCGAGCGATCCGCCGATCGATGCGATCCTTAATCGCAATCTGATTATAGGGAGAAGGTTCTGCTTCACCGATACCATCGAACGCGACGAGATTGTTAAAAGTTGAATGGAAATACGCGACGAGTTTACCGCGCGGCAGAAAAAACGAGATTCGTAATGCGCCGGTCGTGTTTAAAATTTACAGTTGGTTGACAATTAAAATATACAGCGCGACGAAAGTGCAATCGAATATCTACACAGCACATATTTGTTCAATAATATCGTACACGTTAAATCAACGTCATAAGCGTCTACACAGAGAGCGAATTTCGGTAGTATCCTCAAATATTGATCGTTCTGGCTATTAACGTTCGCGCAAACGACAACAATTCGGATTTCTCCACGCGGGACAGAACATGGTACAGAGTTAAGGGATAATATTAACTGTCGTTCGATAGCGGCGAGGAGCATTTTCATTCACCGTGGTCGCCTTCCGATTCCGTGATTTTCCGTTTGCGCGAGCATTAGTCGCGAATGCGATTAATCGAGGATGATATTTACGGCGCAGCGCGACGTGGCACGGTTTTACAAGAGTCGTGCCGGGATTGGTTGGTCGATAAATTGGACGCGAAACTGGCCGCGGGAAACGCGGCAACGATCCTAAACAAATTAGCAAAGCTTTCGAAGGGGAAAGCTTAATCCGCGATGACGTTGGATCAAAGACGCGGGGCGAGCCAACGTGTAATTTTTTTTTTTTTTTATTTATCTCTCTGGCCATATTTTCTATCTTTCGTAAATCCTTCGACATGCCGATATTTCGGTAGATCGGCAAAGTGCCGAGCGGGCTTGGCTCGATCATTACGCGACATTTAATTACGCCGCATGGATACCGGTCGCGATATTGCGACGCGAGTCGCGCGACGCCCGGCCCGGCCAATCCCGATACAATATTGACAGGATTCGCCCGCCCGGCGTACACCGATGCCTCGGTATTTACAATATGTGTAAATACACGCGAAGCGCAATAAATAGAATGAAGTATTATAGATATTGGCTGTGCCCGGATTAATCCAACCTTCTCGATGAAACCTATGTATTATATTTACACGCGTGCCGGCTGTTACTCTTCATTTTTTCAAATTGATCGTTTGCGCGTCCAGCCAGGGGCACGGTTGATCGCCGATTTATTTTTTTTTCATCGATTCCGTTTTACAGGTTTTTCAAGTATCTACGTCGATGGGGAAACTTGTAATTCGTCGTAGAAATCCATACGCGATAGGATTCAGCGTGAACCGATACGGTCGAATAAAGTATTTCGGTGTTTGTAAATTTCCGTTGGCAGTTGGATAGTATCGTATCGAGTTGGAACGTCCGGGCACGCGGGTCGTTTTCGCCGGCCGATTTAGCCAAGTCGGTAACTTTTAACGATCCTGTAACTCGCAGCGTATACGAAATTTCATCCCTGTTCCGTGCACAGCCGCTTCTATCGAACGATATTAGGTATAGGATATGCCGCTCGTTATGCATCGGCCGGATTTCCACGTCGACGAACGGCGTCAAAGCGCCACGAGATAGACCGTGTGCACCGACACTTTGTCGGCCAAGTCCAAGTTTCCACTGCGACCGACTGCGAGTAAGTACGAGTAATGGTCTTGCCTAAATTACATTCTATTCTAAATAGATCCGATCGGACGATTCGCCAGATGGAGAAAATAGTGCGTCTTGGTCGGTCGTTTCAGCGGGGTCAGCTTTGACAACCGCGGCTGGAAAAAGACTCGGTAAACATGCCAGGCGATTTTAAACTTCTTCCCTGGGTTTCCTTCATTCTTCTCTGTTTCTCTCTTTACGTATTTCTGCTTTTTCTCGCAGCAGCGCGCTTCTGAATGCTTTGGAAACCAGAGCGGCTTTAATTAGCAGAAATTAGCGTGCCGAAAGAAAAGAATCCGCGGCGACTCGCAGACGAGAGAGAGAGAGAGAGAGAGAGAGAGAGAGAGAAACCGGTATCTTATTCTGCTCGGCAAACCTAGGCTGTAGGCGGTTCATCCTGCTGGAAAGTTAGCTAGCAAGCTAAGCTCGCGTACTGCTTTTTCGGCTCTACAAGGATAGTCGTCGGACGAAGAAAACGTTGAAAGGACAAACGATTCCATCGTATCGCGAACCGTGTAAGTACGTACGTTTCATCATTAGAGAACGTCAACCCATACATTTAAATTGGAGATTAATCAACTTTTCTCGCTCGATGTAATTGAATTAATTTCAGGAAAACGGCGGTCTCTACTTTCTCCTTCTCTGCGGAAATACAGGCTTCCTGTATTATCTAGACAAGTCCGAAACGTTAGGATCAGGTGTGTACCAGCGAGTACGAATTCGTGCGAGTCTCGAATTCCAGGAACGATCGGATCCGATCCTACGTAATCTTCCAGATGGACGATTCGGTTCAACGGTGTTTACTTGCACGAAACAGGATGACGTTGAATTTCCGATAATCCAGCGAGGTTACCGCTACCTCGTGCCACGGCCAGGAAAGTTACGAGCTTTTTCCTATCTTCGGGATACGCTCGAGGATCCCTTTTTCATCGCAGTTTCGCATCCCAGCACGGTTCACGGGAACTTTGCCACGATACGGATAACGTAACTTTGCTTATCGATGCCAATCGTCGTATTCATCTTCCGTTTAAAACCTTGGTCGGTGTTTGGTTTCCTGTTGCTTTACCAGTGTAAAAGTAACAGTCGGTCTATCGGACGTATTTCTACGGACACGTAGGTACATCTTTGCAACTTTCCGATCGAAACATCTTTCTTCAACGATTTATCCCTGCGCATGATAGTTGGTTCGAGGTGGGAAATTATTTAAACTGCGAGTTGTAAAATAATTGAAAATGCAGCGATAGAGGATCGAGAGGGAACGTGTGGCACGTAAAATGCCATCAGGCTTTTAGGTGCATACAAGTTGCACTCGACGGAAGGACGTTTGGCCCGCAGAGCCAAACCACAGCAGCTCCGTCAACCTAACACGGTGGTCGGTTCACGTGCACGTTCCCCGTGAGCTAATGTCCGTGCCACCTGGGACATCCTGACATTCGGATCCTCCGATGTCCGGACACCAGGACGCACGGTTCTTCCCGGAGGACTGGCCCCGGATCTATACCGTCCCCGCCCTCCATCGCCCTCCACCCCGACTGCTTTTAATCCATCTAGTTTTATGATGACACAGAGTCCACCAGGACTTTCGCAAGTCGGTCAACTTGCCCGTGGAATTACTCTACGTACTAGAAGCGGGTCGAGGGACATTAAACTTTTAACTAGATTGCGCTCGACATTGTAAGAAATTATAACGACGAGCTTCATTAGAGACACAACCGAACAAATCTTTCCAACGCATTCTAGTTTTTCGCTTTAGCAAGAAGTTCGAACCGTCGCGCCGCGTCGCAATTACTTTACGCGAACAAACAAAATACTCAATTATTGGAAAGGAACAAAGCATGTATTTACGCAACGGGATAAAAATTCATTATTAGTAGACCCCGTTTAATCTCATTTCGAAGTCACCGTGAATCTTTAGTGCCTCGTGAATATTTCATGGACGTGTCATGTGTGCGCATAATTTTCGTACCGCCGCGTCGCCGCCACTGTTCCCTCATTGGGCACCGCCCACTTTGTTACCCCCGCTGTCGGTCCTCGCTCCATTCACAGATGGCCACGTTGTTAGAGGATTCGCGCTCGAGAATCGATTCGTCTTTACAATAATTAACAACACGAATAGCTAAAACGAAAACCGTTTAGCTCGGTATCCATCGTTATCTTTCTTTGTGCAAATTCGAGCTTATACTCGACGATTATTCGACTACTTACGCGAGTGATTCAGATTTCTCAGACTCGTTATCGGCAACGCACTCTTCACCGAGAAACCGCTCGTTATGAACATTTCTATGCACAAATGTATCCGAGGAAATGCTGCGCACGCCGGCAACAGTCACGTCCGTGCGAACACGCAACTGCATTATTAATATAATACGGCAATGAAAGGGAACAGGCACGTGTGCCTAGGTGCGGACGCAAACGCGCACGTAAACGCGCACGTAAACGCGCACGTAAACGCGCACGCCCGCCTATACGTCAGAGAAAAAGAGATAGAGAGGAGGACTCGTACAGTTTATCGCAGTTCATTGCATTAATCCGCACACGCCTAACCCATCGGGAATTTTCTCGCGCAATGTGTGCAATTTCAACTCGGCCATCCAACCTTAAACCTTGACGCGTAAAGTCGATAACGATGCGGTTCACGGAATAATACCAGCTCTACGATTACCAACTTATTTCCGACTGAAACTTATCCTAACGATTGAAGCAATTTATTAATAAAATCGCTAATACGTCTCATGTTGTAGAAAAAAATGTTTTCTCTTTCTTCCCTGATGTTACACACGTACGCGGGGATTGCCGGAAATGCAAATAGTCGTCAGTACTGCGCTGCGTGCACGAACTGCATGTTATTTTAAAAATGAACGGTTAGCATGCGAGATCGCATACACGTCGCGATATAGGAACGACAGATATTATTAGGAATTACGTCGCCTCGTATCGCAAAAAGATGTCGTCTAATTAAATACAATTTTACGACGTTACGTACGAGAGAATAACGCCACGATTCGTTCATCGATTATTACCAAACGTGCTACCTAGCTAACGATATTGTACACGTGTTTAGAAATTCGTTTGCTTTCGTTGTTCCTAGTGTACGACGTGTGTCGAATGTATCGAAAAATTAGAACCAGCTAACCGATTAACGGTATGCGTACAAACGAGAAAAATAAATTATTAGGTGCAACCAAGTTGTAGCAATAAAGATTTCTATTCTATTCGTCGAGCGGAATTGGCGACCGTGTAAACGAACGAGTAATTGTCGTATTACTAGTAATTTGTTGACCAGAATGGATTTACGCGTGTTCCATGTATTAGGAAAATAACCGGAAACGCTGTCGAGGGGTTTATTGTTTGACGCGTAAAATCGATCAGAACGCAACGAACAAAAGCGATGGGACAGGCGCTGTCCGTGGAATTATTTTCGACGCCGTGCCGCGCATCGCGACGTACATACCTACATATGTACGATTTCCTCGTAGGCTGCTTCGACGTCGCGTCACACTTTCAGTTTAATCACCGGAAATGAAACGTTTCGCACCGACGCTTTTGGTGTTCAACGTTACGGTAAAGATCAAACATACATTAAAAATCCTGGCTCAATGTGCGCGTTTACAAATATTTCACGACCACGAAGGGAATACGTAATATGTATGTACTACGAGAGATAATTTGAGAAATTGCCGACTTACCTTTCTTGTGTCGATTGATGTTTATGCCTTGTCCGTCCTCTCTCTTCCACATTAATTTTGGCGTGGGATATCCGTCCGCTTTGCACGTCAGAGTAATGTTCTGATTCTCTCGTACTGCCACTGTGCTTTCGGTGGACAACGAGTCCAATATATTCGGCGGAACTTTAAAGAAAGAAAAAAAAAAAGTAAGTGAAAATTATGACATAGTGTGTCTAATCATTGGACGTTTCGTTATTTCTAAACGGTTCATTCATCGCGAAAACTGATTTTCCACGAATCGATCATTTTAAATAGGATAAATAGAATCGTTAAGGTGTGCTTACAACATATTTGCGTGATTTCAACGTACGAAGCATTAATAATCGCATGCACGGTTGGACGTAGTAAACTTCCGAAAGATGATCAAGTATGCTTACCGACGACTTGAAGGAAGCCGACCTGGGTCATCATCGGGTTTGTGTTCACTTGGCACATATAATAACCTCTGTCGCCTTGTTGCACGCTGTTTATGTGAAGCAACCAAGTTTTCTGATTATCGTGCGATACCGTGAATCTCGGAATCTTGACGACAACGTGCTTGTGAACGGTGAGTAGCATCTGACGACCCACATGAATCCATGCAACCTGTAATCGCGATCATTTCACTCGCACCTTTCATCGACGAAAAGGTTATCATGTAAGAAATAATGCAATCGTCGCGACGGTTATTGGTCAAATGGAAGAATTTCCGGTTTGATTGATACGCTAACGAAGGAAATTCGGTGTTATTTCTTTCTGATTTGCGCGACAGTTTGTTTGTTTAGAATGCGTGTGGTATTATTGATATGTAGCCAAGTATCTATTTATATTTTCGAGATAATTGATACGGGAACGTATAATGGTGACCGATGAATCAGTCTCGGCTTAGATAGTTGAATCGGTTCGATCATTGGAAAGTGTGGTGTGAATTGTGTTGACCGATTCGACGCGAAATTGTTCATACGCGATGAACTTTACGGTCGTCTACAGCAGCGGAAGATCCTTCGAATTTCCCCTCGTCAATGGGCCGAGAGTCATTGGACGTTCCACAAGTGGTGGAGCGCAATACGGGAACACGGCAAGTGCGCCAAGCGTCGCGTCGCGTCGCGTCGCGTCGCGTCGCGTCGGGTCGCGTCGCGTCACGTCGAGGCGAAAGAGAGAAAGAACGCAACCGTTAGAGGGAGTGCAACGACAGCCCCGGCGTAACCGGGCTGCATCAGAAATCCTATGAACAAACATTATTACGACCGTATTTTACGCTCCGCTGGGCTAACGTTCCCCTAACTAAGCTCATTCCACGACAAAGCTTATGCACTTTCGAGGATTTCTGGGTTAAACTGCCTGCCCCTCGGCTCCTCGGCCCCTCGGCCCGTCGGCCCAAGCCCAGCCCCTTCCCCAACCCCTTCCTCAACCCCTTCCGCGGCTCTGCCGTGCTCCCGGCTGGCACTTGTTCTTTTTCATTTCCTTGGCAACGCTCGAGAACGCTCGGTTGCGCGAAAGCGCCACTTTTCCTCATTTTTACTTTCTGCCACTTTCGGCGTATCTCGCCAACGTAACGCAGCAACAACTCCTCGTGCGCTTGTCGGCGATGAATTATGGCAGGCTACCCTTTCCACCGTACCGTGGCGTTCCACGCCATGCCACGCCACACCACGCCACGCCACGCCACGCCACGCCACGCCATGCCACGTCGTTGCGCTGCTCATCTTCAACGTTTGCCCAAACCTTTTCTTCAGTTTCTCGTGCTCGAGGATTTCTTCGCTTATCGCACCACGCTACGATATATGTATGCTATGCGTTTATCGGGCCGTAAAAAATAATCGGATCGCGTGATACGAAATCCGTCGATCGGTCGCGTAAAACATCGCGAGCTATGTAGGTAAGTACGTATACGACGTAGCACTTTGTCGATTTCTCCCCATCCATCTATTATAAAAAGTTGCGCGAATTAGAGCGTTCGTTGTTTCGTTATTAAATGTTTCGCGGTGGTCCTCTTGAAGTACGGTTAATAGATAAATAATTTCCCTCGCTGAGATTACTCGAAGGGCAGAGATTAAATAGCGCGGCACACGATCGACGTATTGGTTTTATTTAATTTAGGAAAACTCGATCGCATCGCGAGGCGCAATATCGTCGATCCGATTCGTTGATCTAATTTGTCGAAAGGATCAAAGGAGAATAGGTAAACCAGTTGCTAGATAGTGGAAGGAACGTCATATCCGGGGAGATTAGACCGTAGTCGAACTCTCGGTTAATCCTTGGTTTCGGATATATGTACATAGCCGCGCATCGTTCTCTGTGCAACGCGTTTTAGGAAAGTTGGCAGCGTTAAAATTTCCACCGAAAATTCCGTCGATCGCATTAATAAAAATAGATATTTTTAATCGTAAAGTTAGTTTGTGGGTGACGCGTAATGGTAAAGGCGACGCTGTATTGGCCTTTAAACAGTCTCGAGGAAAAGCTCGTGCCGCTAGCGGCCTCGATTGAAATCCCTGGCACTGGTACAAAGTCAGGCTTAACTGGTACCGTGACGGTGCTTTTATACCGAGTGGAAAAAGCGCTATTCCGATCCGGTGGGTCTTTTTTTGCGCGACAAACAACGAGTCGGAGGATCATTGTTACGATATAACTTTTCGAAAAAACGGTCGTGCTCTTGTTCGGAAACTAAATTTTTCATTCTCGACGATATTGTATTTATTCGAATGGGTGTAATACCATGAGTCGTAGTCGGTAAACCATGGATAGTAGTCGTAAAGATAAAATAGAGTTTTTAACGAATAAAGGTAGCTGGTGGGTTTGTTGTATTTCCTGCGCCTGGCGAGCTTCTAAAATGCATTAAGAAGGCCAAGATTTTGGTATCGGACGTCTTGTCGGAATAACTCGTAATTTTGCCGGAAATACGAATCGCCGGCGAGTATTCCCGCGAGCGACAGTAATTATCCGTTGACAGCTGGCATTGTACGCGCTAGGTATGTATGTACATATACCGAGTCACGTGCTCTCTTAACGTCAGAAACTCGCGGCAGAATTTACAGTTTGCTTTAAATACGTGCTCGAAGAACCGTGTCTCGTATGCCCCGATGCTGATTTGCCGTCAGAATTTGCAACATCGCTGTTTCAGCCGTTGAAACTGCTTGAACGCGTTGTAGGTGACAGCCAGTCCAGCTATGGAAGAAGGAGTCTGTCCAATATCTACGAACGAGATATACATACATATGTATAATACTCGAAGGAATACTTTGTTCGGTAGCGTGGTCGAAATTGTCGCGTAAGCTACACATTGATGATACTAGATACGGTAGCAAAGTTGCCGTAGAATGGAAAAATAAATAATAGTTGGAGCTTAGGCGAGCTTCCTGAACAATCGACCACCCGTTGTACAATTTAATTAACTTCCGCCGTCCCAGGGACGAAGAAGGAGAAAAATGGGTAAAAAGGTAACGGGGAGTGGCTCGAGAGCATAACGAGAGAGAATGCTGGATGATGCCAGGGAACACCGGGAATAGAGAAACAGCGAGAGCGGAAGCGGAACAAAGAGAGAAAGAAAAAGGTCGGAGCGGTGTCGTTCCGAGGACAGGGTAGCGTTTAGCATCGAGGAGGGTTGCCCGTTTTAATCAAGTTTGCAAAAATATTCCCGGCGTTTGACGGGGCTCGGTCATTAGGTCGAGCTTGATTTCCCACAAGGTCGTTTTTCTATTTCTCTACGGTGCGGTGTTTAGCTTTAACGCTTCTCTGTCGGTCGGCGTGTTTACGCCAGGAACCATTCGGGAAATATAGTACATATGTATATGTATTTCTATCATCATCGAGACGTTTATCGATTCTCCCTTTGTCTTGAGAAATATGTATTAGACATGTTTAGGTCTGCTGGGTTAATCGTCGGTCGTTATCGAGCCTTTTATTAAACGTGAGCATAAATTTAACCGGAGGCGTGTCGGTGGCGATCGTCGATGGCGCGGCGTGGAGCGGCGCGGCGCGGCGCGGCGCGGCGCGGTGGGGCGGTCGCAATCGTCGGATCTCGAGCACGAGAGCTAACTCGACGATTTATCGAAGCGGTAATTAAAAATAATTTCAGGGATCGCGAGATCCGACACGGCATATCCACCGAGCGGAGCGGCGCGGCGTGGCGCGGCGTGGCGCGGCGCCGACGCTTGACGCACTCGCTGGTAATCCGGTTAGCAAATTAATTATTAAATTCATTTCCTAATTAGGTAATTACCGAGAGCACTCGAGCGTGCTGCCTCAACTTTTGCTCCCGGAAGGGCCTGCTGCCAGCTAGCTTTCCGCAGCGTGTTCGCCCCCGCGAATAATGGACGAACGGCGAAAGTTCTTTCCGTGGTCGAGGGCTAAGTACGATTTGCAATATCTTGGGGAAACGACCACCGCCTTACGGACCCCGTCCTAATGCTCGGAAATTTACCAAATCTCACGACACATTTAACCTTCCTTTCTCTAAATACGTACGTATGTATGTACATCTATCGGTACAGAACGGTCACTTTTTTCCCCCCTTTTTCGCTTCTGACCTCCGAATCCCTACGTAACGCGTGCAATTTTTTCCAATTTACCACCTTGTACAACGAGCCTCTGTCACAGTCGCGTTTCTAGCAATTTTTTCAACAGAGCGCTGCAATTCATCCTACCGTTATTCGAAAGAGTTCCTTTTTTTAATTCCCTCCTGGAACAATACCACCGGCTTCCTGACATAATTAAATCCAGACAAATTGACAAAGTCATACGGTTTCTTCGAGTTAGCCAGACATCGAGTACTATGTCGGGGATCTGAGTTCGATCCTAGAGCGAGAGAGAGAGAGAAAAGGGCTCCGCGAAAGGGGTTAGAGAGACCCCTTTGACACCCCTGTAGATGGAATATTCTGATGCGTTGATCAAAGAGCTCGAGCAACTTTCCGTCCGAAACTCGGTATTTGTTTAACGTCACTGTCAGATATTCCAGTCGCAGCACGTGCATTTCAATATTCGAGAAGAAAGCAGCAATTCGCGGTCAAACGTACGACCGATCGTCGTTTCTTTCGCTGTCGAGGAAGAACATCGTACAAAAATATTCAAAATGAACAAACGGCAAACAAGGAATGAATTTCGAGGAGGGAAATTTTCTTTTCATCGCTCGAACGAGAACAACAGAGTAACGAAATGTTCTAAATTGCTAGATGAAACTAAAGCTTGGAATCCTGTAGAATATGTATTTCGAATACCTTATTTTCGGTGTACGCTGTCGATGTTATTTTCTCTCGACCGTCGCGTTCAATGAATATTCAGTTTCAATGTTTTCCTTTCTATTTCGTACGCGTGGAAAAAGACCGTTTCTCGTTATTGTTTATTCGAATGAAATTTTCGGAACGATAATTATGGCACTTTAGCGAATCCGCGGTAGATTTAGGTAATATTTCGTGTTGCGAGACACTCGTAAAAGGATTCGTAATTTTTTTTTATATATATTTACATTTAATTCCGTGTAATACCGTGCAGCCAGACGGATTTCATACCGTACCGATGTTCGATTAACGTTTCGAAGCGTTTCGAATGAATCAAAGCTCGGCCTATCGTAAATCAATCACAGCTAATTTACCATCGCTATTATTACCTTGTGTAATAAATTTCGTTCATCGAGCCACTTTTTATCGATTCATCGTTATTCCCAATATTCAGTCTCTATCATTTCTCGTTTGCATACGAGGTAATTATTTATCCTGCGAGCATCCAACTTCCTGATCGATGAAAAATCGGTTCGCGCGGCTTTCCGAATACGAATACACGCTTGAAATTACCACGGATACGGGTCTCTATCTTTAAACACCAAACAATTTACGATACTTGGCAACATTTTTAACTCAATGAAAATTTCGACCAACAGATAACTATTGGAACGAAGCTTTGAAATTAGAGTAACGTTTCGTCGCTAACTAACCGCGCATAGAATCAAAGAAGAATTTTTTATAATTCGCTTGATCCAGTTTTATGAAAGACGAGGCGAGCGTTACGACGACGACGACGACGACGACGACGACAACGACGATAAAGCTTAAGCCCGGCCACGTTTACAGCTTCGTCCATGTTTCCACAAACTCATAAACATGCTTGTTCGCTGGTACGTCACGGGGATAAAATTCTGAGCTTTTCATTCGATTCAAAGCGCGATCGCACACGATGCACTTAACGGGCCGCCGCGAATGAGTTTCAGTTACATCAGGCCCGAAAGTGCTTTCTTGTTTTCGAACGGTTCACGAGATGCACCGATGCATCGCGTCGCGTAGCGTCGCGTCGCGTCGCGTCGCGTCGCGTCGCGTCGCGTCGAAATTCGAACCACCCTGTATGCGTTTGGGTGAAACAGTAGCGAGAAAGAGCGAAATTCGCCAAGGACACCACCGCCTATAAACGAATTTATGACACGTTCCTTTGTCCTTTGTGGACACGCTGATGCGTGTTTTATTGGCATTTGAAAAGCGAAGCTCGTGCAGCCAAATGGCGGAGATACTCCAACGATGGAATATGCGAATTGAAACCGTGGCGATAGCGTGAAGCGCGATTTCAAAATGATTTAGCCGAGTTTTCGCCTACTAATGTACCTATAATGCAATCACTGTCTTTCGCGTGCAGTACGCCAAACGCGCATTAGCTTCTTTCCAGTCTTTTGCTCTTTTCATCTTGATCGTTTTCTTCTAAGAAATAGATCGCTTCTAGAACGCTTCTCGTTTAATCATTTACGATCGCGTAAACGTAAATGGTAAACACGCTGCTGTCTGCTCTCCGACACGTTTAACCATGACGCGCAACTTTGTACAACGATTTAAACATTCCTCGCGATTTTGCTTCATCTTTTTCCCCTCGGCGTGCCTTTTTCTCATCGATGGCCGGGCGCGCGTCTATCGGCGGCGTACGAGCGACCCTACCTAAGTAAGTACCTACGTAGCTTGTTTTTTCGTGCATTAATCGCCGCGAATCGTCGTTTCAACGATCGTTTTCCAAGATTCCTGCGGCTCGACGATTCGTTCCATGTCGGTCGGACAAACTCCCCTCTTTTTACATTGTTTTCTATTAATAGACTGGGAGAATTATCCTTCTGAAATTGAACAAAGCCCCGTTCCCATTGTTTCCGAATCCGTGTATTTGCGTTTTAGATTTTCGCCTCGCCTCACCTCACCTCGCCTCGCGGCTCAACTCGCGTTGTCCCGTTTTCAGCGAATCCGTCGTCAACTGATTTATTAACGGATCGCAATCTCGAATATTTAATATCGTTTCGATCTTGTTTTATTTCGGTAACGTCCGCTAGAGTTTATTTCCTATCTGTGGCATCGTACTGTTTTATTAACTCGAATAATATTATTCTGCTTTCGTTCCGATATTTTCTTGGAGTAGAAACGTACGAAACCGCGCGAAGAATCGATACATCGGAACCAGATACCGTAAATATTTCAGAACGGCTCCGCGGCAGCCGGGGCGTTACAATGTCTGCAGCGGCATTTATTATTTACTCACGGCGCGGAGTGGCGCGGCGGCGGGGCACATTGCGTAATAACGGAGCCTTGGACGCAGGTTACGTAAGCACAAAGTCCTGGCTGCATACTGCATTTCACTGCAGCGTATCGTCGAACGCAGCGCGAAACAGTTTACGTTTAAAAAAATACTTCTGTCCTCGTCATCAAGTTATTAAATAGAGAAATACATAAAGGTCGAAGCGCGAAATGAACATTTTTAACGCGTCCCTGAACTGTTGCCTATTATGTATTTCGATACGTGCACGCGTCGAATTTAATTGATATTTTTAATTGGAAAGTATGTGTAGCGGCATGGTATTTAGATAGATTGTTCGATTTAATTACCTTGTAATTACCGAGGTTTTCGACGACACAGGGTAGGCTGACGTCTCTCCCCAGTGGCACGGTGACATTCGGTATTGGCTCGGCAAACATTGGTTGATCCGACAGAGCTACACAGATTAATTAAACAACATTTTGTTACTTCCAGGCGTTTCTTCCATTTGTTCGTTAGTATTTCGTTACTTTCGTTATTATTGGCACAATATTTGCATCGCGGTGATCGTAAAATGATCCAAGGTTCGCGTAAAGTCGCTCGAGGGTCAAAGGATCCGTCTCTTACATTCGGAACATTTCACGGCGTCGGGCGTCGCGCATCGACCTACATAAATAGAAGACACGACCAAACGAACGAGTACAAGCTTTCAAAGAAGACGAGCAGGAAAGGGAAAAGGAAAAGGAAAAGGAAAAGGAAAAGGAAGAGGAAGAGGAAGAGGAAGAGGAAGGGGATCACCGCGAGTCACACCGGTCGAGAAACCCTTTGGGAAAGTTTTAGGATTGGTCAAGGGTGAAGTAAGAGGGCAGTTGGTTGATCGCTCGACTGGAACAGGGAAGCCCACGATTCCATTTCTTGACTGTATTTATCGGAAGCGTAGCTAGAGGAGCAGGAGCAAGACGACACTGCATACCGACGGAAACCTGCATCATCGAGATTTCGCGATAAACGAACCAAATGTCGTATTTTCAAAATCGGAACACGGAATAAAAGTCGAATTGGGCTTTACTTCTTAATCACACTGGATTGCCATCATTATTTAGGCAATTACCGATCTGGCATACTTGTCGATGGCTTCTGTAGCCGCTGGTACAAGCAGTTGATTCCACGATATCGAAATGTAAGGAACGCGATGGGATTGGTGGTAAGACGAAGCCGATAATATGCTTCGCGAGGATTCGTCGGACAGAAAAAGTGACCGGGAAAAATACGTGCACGAGCTGTCGAGACACATAAGTACGCGTGGATGATGTTTTTACGGTACCAAACACTGTTTCAGCTATGCATGTTGCAGAGCCGGACTACTTTTTCTACCTGTCGTTGGAGAATTCTCTCGGCGAGGATTACGTAACCGAGAAACTATACAATGCGCTCAGGTAAAACAATGACCGAACGATTTCACCGATGAAATTGTCAGTCGCAGCGCGCGGCTCGCAATTTCCTGGTCGATTTAAAATGACAACTGGCCGGTGCGCTGCGACCCGACCCGACCCGACCCGATCCAACTCAACTCATTTCGAGGCCTGAAAACGATGGCCGTTCCAGGGAAGAATCTGAAACCGTTTCGATGCCTGATCACATCACCCTGCTAATCATACCCTCTGACAACTTTATCCTCCTTTCGTTAAAATATTCTAAAAATAAATCGACACGTACTTACTTACACGATCCCGCGAGCAACGATTCAAACAAAGTGGAAAAGAAATTAGGAAAAATTTGAAACTTTCTGAACGTTGAAATACCTGTGTTAAGAGCCTCGACGAAGGCGGTATATTAATGAGCAGCGTAGAGAGTAAGCTGAAAAGAGAGCGGTTTTCGCGCGGAGCTCGAACGAAAAGCAAAGAGCTAGAGCAAACTTGTTGAATAATCAATGTGTACAGAACACCGATGGTGGCACTTACTTTACGACGAACGTTCGTTCAATAATGAACTTTGAGAACCGCTTGGACGTTCAACGGCTGTTACTCGCGTATATTTAATTCGTTACTTATCTCTAGGAGCACTCGCTTAAATCGTTCTTTCGAGTCGATTAAACCAAGCAACTGCTTTGAAAACGCATTCGGCAGTTTGATGGACGATTGTAAAAGAAAGTCCGCTTGTTATTTCTGGTTTACGCAATTCACGCAATTACCGTTACAACTTGATCATTTTATCCAATTTGGTTAGAAAAGTTTTAAGACGCGGGGTGGGACGGGGTGGGACGGGGTGGGACGGGGTGGGGCGAGACGAAGCGTTCGCATGAATTGATCGAGGAAAAGTTGCTCGTTCGAGGACGCGGATGCGATTACGGCACACGAAATCTCTTTGGTCGACGCGACGATCATCGAAGAAACTGCGGAAGAATGCCTCGAGTTGTCCGCTGTTCTCAAACTCGAGCGAAAGCCTCTTTTGAAAAGGGGCTTTTGATGTGGGTAACGACGTTTACGAGGCGACGAGGACTCGACGAAACACGCGACAACTCCAACTTTCGAGGAGATTGTACGAGTTTCAATTAACGTCTCGAGTAACGCGAGCAACGCTTCGTCCGCGTTTCTTTCCGTTCGAAGAACCTATCGTTCTTTCAACCAGCAATCTTATCTTTCCCATCCAAATTACGATAATATGCCAACGATGCACGTATATTTACTACTCGCATCCACCGAGTTGGCGTATCTTTAATTATCGGGAGTTGAACGGGAACCGAGAAATAGAATAAAGGATAAGATATCCCTGTTTACTAATTTGAACAGAAACTATTAGAACGAGACGGAATTCCAAGTTAATTGCAGCTGCTCGGGGAGACTCGCCTCGAAGCTTTCGCACCGATCGCGGTGCAATTGTACCGCGATGAATGCGAATGAATAGTTGAATGTCTCCGTTTCCTCGGTAGCCCCGTTATCGACATCCTGCTGCTGACTGTATTATGCGCGTTCCTCGACGTGACCAGCCAGTTACGTTTATCAGGATCCGCAAACCGCGATCACCGGCTCTGTGTTGCTTCCAACTAAGCTTACATACATGTAGATCGTTGTAGTTTGAAAATATGTATTGCTCGTCGACGTATTTTCCTGTCAACGCACGAAAATCTATCCATGTTCGTAGACGGGGTCGATTTTATTTCGCGGGTAGAGCACCGTGGGCGCGTTACACGCCGTTCCCGTACAAAAGTTGAACCTTTCGAATCGACAAATTGATACTGGAAAAAAGAGCATCGTTCCGTGATATTTTAAAATAAAAATTCGTTTGACAATCCGTTGCTCGGTCGTCCCTTTTTAGTTTTTAAAATCCAGCACGTATTTTCCCAGCGGTATTTTTTTCAAAGCGTCGCGTCGCACAGATTGGTCAGCTTTCACGTACAATATCAGCGGCAGAAACGTTGCGGCCATCCCTTTGCGATTCGCCCAACGAAAGCGCAAATAATAAACATTGTATAATGATTGATCTTTTATTCAAAATAAATGTGACTAGATGTGTAGAACCGTAGGAGAGAACGTGCAAGTTAATCGGTTAACTTTGCCTAGCTTACATCGACACGTTTGCGTGAATAGCAGGAACTTTGCTTTTATAGGATCGTAATCGTCGGGTATCGTGCGGCATTTATTCCGTAACGCGTTCTCGCAACAAGTACGAAATTATTGAATTCTTTCGATTCGTTGGATCGAGGAGAAAGACTAATCCATCGAACCGACACTCGTCGACAGATATTATCTTCGTATGCCTGATACAGGAAAATGGTTGTCACCTGCAAACCAGACTTGGATTCTCTTCTCGTCATCGGTGAAAGTTCCAGTCCAAGTGGAGCACCCCTTCATCGAAGTTGCTTCGACTATGGAAGAAAGAACAGGATGATTCCCCTCGGAGCAGTCTGTCAGGCGCAGAAGGCGCGTTAAGAACCGTGGATGCCCACAGACCGATCATCCGAAGCTCCGACTTTACGCTCTGCTCTTCTTAACGAATGGGATTCACGCTATCCCCCTCTCTCTCTCTCTCTCTCTCTCTCTCTCTCTCTCTCTCTCTACCTTGGTTGAACGATCGAATCGCGATAAACCCGAGCGAGGATAGAGCACTCGGTTCGGCCATTGTAAAAGTCCCCGAAACTTGTTTAGGAAAGACGGCGGTCGATGGCATAACTCGAAAATATTTCCGTCAACGTGTCCCAGTCGAATGCTAACGGACGAAATTCGCAAGATATCGCGACTAACTCAATAACCGATGTTAGTCGAACGGTTTTATCGAAGCACGACCGAGTTTCATCGAGAGAGGTCAAGGCTATAAACGATAAATATAAGACGCGGGGTGGAAACTGTTCAACTACGGCACCAATTGCGCCGAATGGATATAAAAAGAAATTACTGGCCTCTCAGACGCACTTGGAAACTCCCGATGCTTTTCTTCTTCCCCCCTACAAGCCATTATATTCGCGTTCTTCGCTCTCTTTTACTTTCTTCCGCGCGACTCTTTCGACTTTGTTCTCGATCTTTCCCTCGGCTTGGCTGCTCCGCCCTTATAACCTGATTTACAGGTGTCTCTCGCAGATATCCACCTTGGAGCTTCTTTATCGTGCAGCCAAGCGGTTTTACCATTTGCGCAGACTTGGAAAAAGTAATAGTTTCCGTGGAAAGGTAGTAGCATTCAGGTATCGCGAGTATAGAAGGTCGAGGTATCTTCTGTAGATCCTGGTTGTGGTACGATTGCGCGGTGTATGCGCGTTTAAATTGTCTAAAGGCCGTGGACGCGACGCGACGCGACGCGACGCGACGCGACGCGACGCGACGCGACGCGTCGAACCGTCTTCGCGAGAGCATTGATATTTATAAGCTGGCACGCGTTCGTCCAGAGTTTGCGGCGCGATAATTCGGCAAAGGTTTTTCCATTCCGCGCGGATACGGATCAGGCACGGTTCCAGCGATTTTTCTCGTCCGCATAATTTCGCAGGAAAGTCTAGGTGGCGAATAATGCTGGTGAAAAGGATCGCGAAACAGACCGAGGACGTCGCGACGCGAACGAAAAGAGGAGGAGGGAGGAAGGGAGGGAAGAGTGACAGTAAGCTGTTCGTGGAACGTCTGCTCGCACTCGCGAAATTGCCAGCACCAGAAGCTTTCGAGGATGCGACGTGTCTGCATCCAGACGACGCGCGCATCGCGCCAGTTGCATCCGCAACAGATAGAAGACACTTTAGCCGATACGCTGCGCCAAGTCGTTGACGTTCTTCGGATCGATTCGACCGACGATAATTCTTCGAGATGTATTGCCACTACCACGACGATCCATGACATTATTTACTTTTCAAATGAATCTTTCGTATGGATCTCGTTTTGAATGTCGAGGCCCAATTTCGTATCGCTGAAACAATATTGGCCAGATTCGTTCAAGGTCTCGTACGGTATCGTTACCTGGGCTGTTTGAAGAATAATTTAA